ATCGAGACCGTCATCTCTGCGTTTGTGCTTATCAGATGGTTTGTCATCGCGACTCATCTGGCATCCGCATCGTCGTCACGGCTTGATGGTGCATATTCGCCTTGTCCATGCTTCTCACCTTTCAGGGGCTACAGCACTGCTCTGGCAGTTAGAGCCGCTTTCAGACATTGAATTGCCTTTTGCCGTTCCAACTAAGTCTCCACGTTGTCGGCCTCACCACAGCACTGGCCGCCACGAGTACCATCGTCGTCAAACGCCCCTACGCAAGGGGTGCTGGTTCCCTGGCTGCTGGGACAGCAGGACTGGTCGGTACACGTATTCTCGGGATCCTTTCACCCCGGTGGTGCTGCAGCAATCCTTGCGACCATCGCACCTCTGCTCAGTCTGTGAGCAGCACGCTTTATCACATCCTCGATCGGTCTCGGCGAGGTGGGCCGCGTGGCCACATTCGTAGGAGGCAGCAACTTCAATGCAAACATCTACATTGAGATCTAGCAGAACCGCCCATGCTTAACGCAAAATGGATTAGTCGTACCATCGCACCTGCTCCCATCGGCACAACAACCTTCCTGTGGCGGTGGCACGCGTCGGGAAGTCCCGCCAGGTGGGGAGCAGCATGCCAGCAGTAGATCCACAAGGCATGCTGGACCCAAGGGACGGTTTTTCAGGGCCAGAACGAGTCTCGCCAGGCCGAGAGAAAGCAAATATTAATGGACTCTGACTGTGAGGTGCACTCCTGGAGATACAAAGATGGGGTCGAAGACGGAAAGACGCGGGGAATTTCAAATGATTGGCCAAGATTCCAAGTCTCACGTGACCTCGGAGATCTATCTGCGCAAATATTAAGATCGAGACACGAGTTACACGACCACATTGTGGATATTGTTAATGATTGTATGTGATGGGAACTTCGTTACGCAGCTCTCTTCCCTACGTTATATTCCTTTTGACGGACTCAATGCTACTCCTCATGCTGTATACGAGGAGTGTGGGGTTAGTTCCGAATATGTTCCTCTCGTTTCCGACTCGACGGTCGACACGCCCAAGTCAGGTTGATAATGTTAGAGCACTGCTAATCAAAGCTGCAAGGCGGGTTACATGGACACGAAGAATGGAGCTGAGGATGATCCCTATTGTGTCGATCCTCGTGTTCTCGTATCCGCAACAGGAACAACTCGTATCCAACTAAACATAGCTCTGCCAAGAAAGAAATCATTACAACAAGCATCCATGCTGAGACTATATAAGGGGCGGTGGAAACTGCAATAGACAAGGACGATGGTCCAACAACGCACCATGAAGTCCATCTTTGCCCTTACCAGTCTCCTCTCTCTCTTTCTGTCTACCAGTGCAGCAGACCCCCGTCTCTGCACCAAAAGCAATGGCCCTCTCACGGCTTCAGCCTTTACCCTCCAACAAACCAATGACAACACCCATTTAGCCTCACTCTCTCATATATTCTCCTCGGCCGGCAAAAATGTCAGCATCCCTCACGTGCTTGACTCTGCCAACCGTGACCTCGCCAAGGGGAAGCCGCCTGTCGGGACGAGCCCCGTCGAAGCCTGGAAGTGGAACTCCGGCGACATGGCAACAACCAAATGGGTGCCGCAGGGGATCTCTGGTTCCGCTGATGCCTCAGCCTCGGGCAAATGGGACGGCCGCGAGATGTGGCTTGTCAGCTGGCACCGCGACGATGATAAAAGCGTGCGCGTGAGCTTTGTCGACCGCAAGACGCACAAGTACCGCCATGTGCTACTGGTGGAGCCCACTGCGGATGATAACTTTGCTGCTGTGCCAGTGCATGCAGGCGGCATTGCGTGGTACGGAGAATGGTTATATGTTGTGGATACGTCGCATGGGATCCGAGTGTTTGATCTAGGTAAGATCTGGCAGGTTGAGGATGGTGATGATGTTGGAAAGAAGGGGGAAAAGTACTCTGCCGCGGGATACCTCTATGTTCTTCCTCAGATTCGGTATGTTGATTTTCCGCGATGGCTGGAAGATTGTTATTGACGCCGATAGATCCTACAAATGGACACCGGGCTCCTCGTCTCCCTTCCGCTTCTCTTGGGTCTCTGTCGATCGCAGCGACAACGCGCTGTTGGTCGGGGAGTTCGTCCGCGACTCAACCAAAGACCCTATCCGTCTCGTGAAGTACCCACTTGACACCAACAGTGGCAAGCTCAAGACCAACGATAAGAGCATCGTCACCGCCACATTTGCGTACTGTGCCGACTTTTTGCGCATGCAGGGCGGCTTCTCCTACGATAACACATTCTACCTCTCACGCAGCAATGGACGGTCACCCAAAGCCGGGGACATGTTCAAGTGGAAGCCTGGAAAAGCAGCGGAATTGCGTAATGGATGGTTCATGGCGGGGAACGAGGATTTGAGTTATAACAAGGTGCGCAAGGAGTATTATACCGTGTCGGAGTATGATGGGGAGCGATTCATTCTGGCTTATAACAAGATGTAGCCAGCGTTTGTATTATTATCATTGGTCCCCCCCTGGATAGGACAGACACCCCGTGGACCGCGGTGATCGACAGTGGAGCATCGCGATTTGTAATCCCCGTCGGAACCATCTCCAGCAGACTGACAGCATCAAGACATCAGACATCAGCATTTGCACCAAATGTATTATTAGGAATTATCTCCAGACCATATATTCAAGCCATATCTTTGACTACATACAAGCAGCAATTGTTCAATTGACATACATCTAAGGTCTCTCAGCCCGACGATATCCACCACCACCATTACATCATAACCATCAACACAAACGCAACAAGATGAGCCAGAAAATCGGCGTCTTCCCAGCCTCCGGAGGCCTAGGAACAAGCATCATCAACCACCTCGTCAAGCTCGTCCCCGCCTCACAACTCATCCTCATCGCTCGCAACCCTGAAAAGCTTGCCTCGCTCTCCCGCGAGGGCGCAACAATCCGCCGAGCAGACTACGATGACCGCGCAACACTCGAGCGCGTCTTCGACAACGTCGGCGTCCTGATGCTAATCTCCTACGCCTCCTTCGAGATCCAACACCGAGTAGAGGTACTTCCCCTCCACTTTCGCAGTTGCTCAAGCTAACGCAAACCAAACAGGCCCACAAAGCCGCCATCGACGCCGCCCGCCGCAGCGGCGTCAAACACATCTTCTACTCCTCTCTCGCCTTCGCCGGTGACCTGGGCGAGTCCAGCCTCGCGCACGTCATGGGCGCCCACCTCGCGACGGAAAAGTACCTCGCCGAACTGCCCGGCCACTTCACCTACACCGCCATCCGCGAGGGCCTCTACTCCGAGTCTTTTCCGATCTACACGGCATGGTTCGATCTGCACGATCCAGTCGAGGAGATCACGATCCCGCACCCGGGGACGGGGCCGGGGGTGGCATGGGCGAAGCGCGATGAGCTGGGCGAGGCCACGGCCAAGATGGTATATGCGTATGCGAAGAACCCGTCTGGCTTTCCGTATCTGAATCGGGTGGTGCTGCTTTCGGGACCGAGGGAGGTGAGTCTAGCTGAGACAGCGGAGGTTCTGGGGCGGGCTGTTGGGAAGCCTGTGCGGATCCGGGAGATCACGGTGGATGAGTATGTGGCGTTGCCGCAGATTGGGGATAAGCATACGTACCACGGGGTAAATCTCTCGAGGGAGTGGGCGACGGCGTGGGAGGCGATCCTGGCGGGGGAGACGGCGGTTGTATCGCCTGTTCTGGGGGAGATTCTGGGGAGGGAACCGGAGGATTTTGAGACTACGATTCGGGGGTTGGTTGGGGGTAGACAGTGACCTGCAAGGATCGGTAGATTCCCTGGCTATTCGGACTTTCTTCAGGGATATTTTTTCCGGGCAGCTCTGCGCGGGTTAATATTACATCTGCCAGCTCTGATGCTTTGCAGCGCTGTCTAGCGACTCAATGTCACCCGGTACTTTGGCCGCGTTCATAAAGCTGGAAGAGGTAAAACACCAGAAGCCATCGCATGACAGCCGATACCTTAGTACTCTCTCTCCTCTCACTCTAGCACATACGACCATAGGGTGTGGAAGACAGGGCTTCCCGTCCGCTCAGCCGTACTTACGCCCATTATAGTATGCGGCCTATTCTCAATGCAACCTGAGCTCTAAAATGGCGTCGGATCTAATCTTAGTTAGGGTGATAGAGGTGAGAACAGGCATCGACTCTCCCACTTTCACTGGACTCCAGGCCATAAAATATGAGCCCAGGGCGCATGTATGCTCTGCTGTTCTTATTTTCTTAATGCTCAGCTATTCAAAGAAGATGACGACGGGAGGGGGAGGGGCTGAAGCAGGATTATTGGACTTATGAGGAGTCTGTGCGGGATGGGGTGGTTGTGGAGGAGATGGTGGTTGAGGGGCATTGTAAGTAATGGCACGAGTCAGGTAAAGCAGGAGAGTAATGCGTACGACTATATGCTACGACCAACTTATATCTATCTACCTACATGGTGTTTTCTGATATGTCCTGATGATGTGAATCTTATACTTTACCTGGGTTTGTTTATTCCTGGACGCGAGGATTGTTCGTTGGTAGCTAGACAACTCTCTGATTAGAATGACTCTTGGTAATCCCAATATCTTTGGAGCCTCTTTTGGTGGCTCATCGGTGCTTTGAACACAGCCTCCAGGATGCATCTCCTGGGCCCCTGATCATCTGTCACTCGAGCCGCTGTGGACCCTGCAGATCCCTATTTGTCGGCTCAGCCCACGGATAGTTACTGAATCAAGAAAATACCACGGGGATCAATGCCTCCGCTCTAGCTTAACCAGTGGATAGAATTAGGAACTCCGAACCATACTTGGAAGGTGTGTTCAGCATACGAGAATCTCAAATGTAGTGTCTTGGCGTCAAGTCCTTGGTGGATATGCCACGTTTAAGCCTCGTGAAAGCCTCGTCTACCTTATCGCCATTAAAGTTACGTTGTCTTTTCATGAACAGGTCTTGATAGAGTCTCTTGATTCCCAATGTTCAAACCACGCGCGCAGCATGGGGAAGATCAAATATCAGTCGATGGTCTTGGTGACCAGCTCGCTTGTGACTGTAACAGTGACAGCGCTTTTGGCATTGGCAGTCTATGTGAATGTGAAACAGCCAGTGGCCGGGGAAGTCTCCACGCCGGGTTTCCCAGCCCTCAATGTTAGCGCATCCCAGTGGAATGTCGGTTGCACTGTTTTAGGAACAGCGGTTGGGATACTGGTGACGGCAGGCCTTGCTTTTGACGATGGCTTGCTCACGCGGGAAGCTATACTTTGCACAGAAGGTGTCGCTCCCTTTTATCTGCGTCCATTGACGATACCGCGTGGAATGGACCAAGTCAGAAATGGCTGGTCCCATGCCACTCGTATGTTCCTTCTATTCCTGACAATCGTGGCGACCTTATCTACCACAGCAACTGTGGCCATATTTGGCGTTCATAATGTGGAGCAATCCCTTTATAATCCAACGGCGAGCTGGCCCTTGGCAACGATTCTCAAGGTTAAGGATGAGGAGACAGACCTCGCGACAAATTCCTACAATCTCGCGACTTTAGATGCGTTCCTGTTTAGGAGTGCGTATATTGCGGGACTCAATACATCCACGAAGTGGAAATCAGACTATCCCGGCTTCCTGTCGAGATGGTTACCAGAATCTGGCTCATTAGGGGACACATTATATCCCACCTTGCATACAAGCGGCATTGGCCTGAACGTGTCGTCCTACCTCGACTACACAGGACGCCCACGGATCGGATTCGACGTCCCGGCCACATACACCTTTAACAAACTCTACGGGGAAGTATTCGGCACGCACATCTACGTTACATGCAGCGATGCGCAACACGCATTGACGACCGATATGGTATCGAACAGTGGGAACAATTTCAGCAGCTGGTACTATCAAATCGACACCCAGAAAGGTGCCCACCTGGCCCTCTCTTCCGAGATTGACATCTTCACCATAGGCTCTGCCCTGATCTACCAACACGGCGTACCAATTCTGACAATAGCCGTCCCGTTCGATGCGCACAAGGTGGTCGTGTACGAATGTACATACTCTGGTAATGATTTCGTCGCATCCGTATCGGTTGATTCTCGCGTCTCCCCACTGAGAATTGTAGCCGAGAAAGGGAACAGCTCGAGCATCGACACCGACACCAAGAAAATGCTGGCGTACTCCATGAGCACCCTCCTTTCCAAGCAAGGGGGTGGCAGTCTCGTTCGTGCCTGGCAGACTCTCGACATCGAAAAACCGGCGTCTTTCGAGGGCGACAGCGAGACGCTCAGGAGGAACCTGGAAAAGGTCTTCAGCCAGATGGGAGAAGCGCTGATCAGTCTTTGGCGGCAGGACTTTGAAAGGGCCGATTATCATGAGGCCTCCGACTTACCTACTCCGAGGGGCGTCCCAGCGCTGGCGGTCGCCGTTTTGGTGACTATTGCTAAACTCGGTGGGGGGTCTTGGGGATGGTTGAGCGTGTATATCTTGTTTCTAATGGGGTCCCTGAGCAGTATTGTTCGATATTGTCGGGTACGTCGAATACTGCAAACTGATGTTCAGGATCCTTTGAGGATTCTGGAGATGACCTTGGAGGGAGGGAAGGAGGTTAGCTTGAGATCGCGGATCAGGATCCAAGATAAGTTGGAAGTGATATCTTCGAGTACTGGGTTGCTATTAAATGATACTGTTGGAGAGAGGAGCGAAACATTGCATTTATAATGTTTACAACGAGAATCCTGTTTCTATATCGGACTGGTAACGACGGCATAAACTGCTATCCAGGCTCTGTATCACAAGAGAATTATTTTAGCTGACAGTAGTATAGAAATGTATATAATTTAAGCCGTTCGAATTAAGTGTTTCTAAGCTCTATAGATCGATGCAAAGAAAACCCCGCCCAACATTGCACAGGCATTCTCAGTTTTGGCGTAGCATATGGGGACATATGTGTTCCACAGCACTATCAAGCAGCATGTCAGGGGACTGCCAAAACAACTCCACAAGCTTAGCGATCTCGGCGGACAGGAACGCGGATTGTGTTTTCGTCAAGACGCCGCTGTTGGCACAGATCTGGATCTCCAGCCGATCCGAATGGGGCTCCGAAAACACCCATACCTCCTTGAGGGGATCGAAGTTCGCGAAGAGCGAGTACCGCACGTCCGCCATACCTTCCAGCGGCAAGTTCTGTTCGAGCCGGATGTTTTGATGCTGGACGATGAACGTCAGTTCGGAACCCGCGGGCCACTCTGTACATTCCTGGATGATCTCCGGGAGCGGCATGTAATCATAAGGAACGGACCGCATGTGTTGTTGGTATACATGAGCAAGAAGATCTTGTACGGTCCACTCCGGCTGGAGGGCTACCCGCATCGGAATGAAGTTGAGGCATGGCCCTAGGATTACGTCCACATTGTCAAGGGCCATGTTTCGCCCGTTGACTGTTTGCCCGAACACGATGTCCGTTTTGGCAAGGAGCCGAGTCAGATAGAAAGCAGCCGCTGCCTTAATCAGAGTGGCCATGGTAAAGCCGGCGGGAAGCTCGGGCGGTTGGATACTGGTGACTGCCATCACGGTCGTGGTGGCTTGGCCGGGGCTGCGGGTGTGGGAGGATGGGAAAGGCGCGACAAGGGAAGAGCCAGAAAGATATTCTCTCCAAAACCGATACGGAGCAGCCCTATCCAGTGTTGCGCAGCGGTGAAGATACAGAGTGAAGTCCGATGTTGGCGGCAACGAGGCGTTGTTATATGCGGCCGCTAGGTCCTGGAAGAGATATGGGATTGATATCCCGTCCCACTGGGCATGGGATAGCTGTAGGGCAAAGACATGATCGACCGGAGAGTTTGAGAACAAGGTCCACGATACGGCAAGCCCATCCCTGATGTCGAACTGTGACATATCGGTTTCCCATTGCGACCGGCATTGGGCCATCGGGCCTCTCTTCGCCTGGTGGTGACGGAAGGGGGCCTTGACGTTGCCCAGCACCGCCTGAATAAGGCAGCCTTCGTGCTCCCAGAACACAGTGCGCAAAATGCTATTTCGGGCCATCATCGCGTCGCATACTCGACGCAGTCGATCGACGTCGATGCGGCCATTGAGGGCAAAGTGGTACGAATGGAATGTCTTTCGATCAATGAAAACCTGCTGGGTCGGCGTTGCTGGCAGTAAATCCAGCAATACTGCGTCCGACAGACTTGGGTACCGCGCTTGATATTCTTTAAACGATTTCTCGAGATTCGGAGTGACCCTCAATAGAGAAAATGGTTGGTAAGGTTGCTCATCTGCGGATGACAATGAAGCCGCAACGCTCGCGAGGTCCGCAAGCACTGGGTGGGAGAAGATATCACCGACACTGACGGCAAAGCCGGTCGCTCGACTCATCGCCGCCAATTTCATGGCATCAATGGAGTCTCCGCCGCTATGGAAGAAATTGTCATGGACAGTCAGTACCTCTGGATCGAGGCCAAGCACCTGGGCGCAAAGCCGCAGCAACACCTTCTCGGGCTCAGCCAAGTCATCCTGATTCGCTGAAGAGGAAGCAGACGGTTGATATAGCACTAGTTCGTCTGTTCGCAAGGCTTCCAGCCGCGCCCGGAGACGGTTGCGGTCGACCTTTCCAGATGCCGTCCGGGGGATCTCAATGAGAGGCAAAATGATGGATGGAACCATGGAAGGTGGAAGGGCCTGTCGAAGGGCAATCGTAGCGGCTGCTGCACGGGCGCGAAATTCGTCGGATGGATCCTGCAAAAGACTGCTGGCCCCGTCCTTTTTGTCGTCTGGCTGCCGAGAACTCACCACCGAAGCCACCAGCTGAGCTCTCCTCGAGCCACCACGCGCCATGACCGCAAGCTCGACCACGGCGTCCAGGACACCTTCAAAGCACTGGCGGACCTGAGCCTCCACGTGGGCAAGTTCGATGCGCTGGCCCCGCAGCTTGACCTGTTTATCCTTACGTCCAAGGTACTGGAACGAGCCGTCTCCCTTGAGCCGGACGAGGTCACCCGTCTTGTAAAGCCTGCTGGTGGAATGAGGCGGACGCCAGGGCTGGAGCCACTTTGGAGGGGCAATGAATGCTTCAGCTGTCTTGCGGGGGTCATTGAGGTATCCGCGTCCCACAAGCGGCCCTTCAATGAGTAACTCCCCAATCCCTCCCACAGGAAGCAGCGCATCATGGTTGCCTGGGTCGACCACCCAGCAGACACAGCCCTGCGCGACTCCGATATCATGCGGGTCGGTGTCTACGTCCATACCGGACTGGATGACGGATACCACGGAGCATTCGGCGGGGCCATAGCCATTGACCAGGCGGACTGATCTGGCCCAATACTTCACGTCAGTTTGAGTCATGGTCTCCCCCACTAGGGTGAGGGTTTTGAGGCCTGCCAGTTCCTCGCGCGAAAGTCGGCGCGCGAGTGACGGTACCATGATGGCATAATTGATCTGCAGCTCACGTATGGCGCCAGCCAGGTCATTTAAGCGCTGTGTTTCTGATGGAATGCAGATACAAGCGCCGACCATCAGAATACTGATATTCTCCTGAACACTAGGATCGAAGGCATAAGAGGAGAATTGTAAGATTCGTGTCGAGGGCTCAATGTGGTACCCGGGGATGTGGTATTTAGCACCCGAGACGTACTGCTGATGCTCGATAACAATCCCCTTTGGCTCGCCTGTCGATCCCGATGTGAACACAACGTATACTGCATTGTGCGGGCGTACTGGACTGGGGAAATTGACCGTTTTGGCATCCTCACGGGGGAGCGCGTCGCCGGATAGGACAAACACGCTAGGAGCGAGCTGGCGACTGGCGTCCGCGTACATGGCAGAACATAGGATGACGCGGCAGCGGATCCCAGAACAAATCTTTTCCAAATACTGGTGGGGATGGGATGGGTCCAGAAGGAGGAATGCGCCCCCAGCCTTCATTACCGCCAGTATGGCAACAGGAGTCCAACAGGATCGTTCAAAATAGAGCGGCACAATGACCTCGGGGCGCACCCCTCTTTTTTGCAAAGCTGGGACCAGAGACGAAGAAAGTTTGTCCAGCTGTTGGTACGTGAAACGACCATCCCAGGCATGAACCGCCACTTTGTCAGGGTGCTCTCGACATCGTTCTTGGATAACCTCGTGGACACATCCCTCGACACCCGCGGGTATCTGGCAGTTTATCTTCCACAGCGCCTTCCAGTCATTGTCACTCACGATATTAATCGACCCCACATGGGCGTCTGGGTCTGAGATGATCCCAGAGATTGCCTTCTCAACTGCACCAACCACACTGAACGCCTGATCTTCTGCCATCAAGGCTGTCCTATACGTCAAGTAGATCTCTGTATTGTCTGACCCTATTTCCAATGATAGATTGACGTCATACTACCACTCTGTCAGCATGATGGATACTATATACCTGTATGGTCTTGACGAACCTCATCGCTACCTCGCATCCAGGCCTTGGAAAACGATAAGCTTTGGCCATCCTGGCCTGGTGGAGTGGACTGCCGGGAATTGATGGCGACGGATGTGTTGAACATGGCAGTGTGTTTTCCTTCCCCTAGACGGTGAATACTTGACAAAGGAAAGCACTGATGGGGAAGTGCCTCAAGATAATCTCGTTGTAGACTTTGCAGTGCCTCTTTAACCGAGAGCTTGCCATGGAACCGGACGAGGCAGGGAAGCATGTTAAGAACTGGCCCTACAAGGTTTTCGATTCCCGCGATGGGGAGATCTCTTGCGGATTTGGCGTAGCCGAAGCAGACCTGATCCGAATTGGTGTAGGCTCGCATCACCAAGGCCCATGCTAAGCAGAGCACATGCCAGAGAGTCAAATTATGCGCTCGGCAGAATTCCTGGACGGCGGGAACGTGGTTGAATGCCAGAACACTGGAGCCTCGTTCGTCTTTTCTGGCTTTCCTTGTCATGCTATTGATCCGAGGGAAATGGCAAATCCCTACGTCGGCCAGATATGAGCCCCAGTACTTCATGGCCGAGTCCTCGTTCTGTTGCTGCAGGTGGGCAATGTAGTCCTGGTACTGCGGCGCCTGTTCTGCAGGTAGTTGATCATCGTATGCGAGAACCAGCTCTCGTTGAATCACTCCGATTGTGACACCGTCCATAATTGCATGGTCGATCCTCAATGTACACAGCATCTCATTGTCTTTCTCCCCCGTCCACATGGTTAGTCTATGGCGGAGTCCTCTCGGGGTTCCGCTCACCACTCCCTTCTCTTCTTCTATCAACGCTTTGAGCGGACCCGAACCAGCCTGCTTCCTGTGGATGATCACTGGCGACGGATTCTTGAGAACCAGCTGATCCATGTATGATTCTTCCGACAGGCTATGGATAAATATTGTCCGGAGGATTGGATGGCGCGCAATAACCTTTTGCCACGCGCTCTTGAAGCGATCCAGCTCTATTGGTCTAGCATTTCGAGATGCAATTCGCAAGGTGACGTCGACCTCGTAACTGCTGTGCCCTTTCGCTTGTGCGACCAGAATACCCCGCTGGCTAGGTGAACAGGGATAGATATCTTCGACATCATTCACCGAGATCCCCTGCTGGGGCAGGAATAGGTGCAGCATATTGTCCAATTGTTTGTATGACAACGGGAGCAACGGGAAATCAGAGAGCGTGTATTCCCTGTCTCGGCCGACCAGAAGCTCACCTGTCTCGGCTAGCGCTTTCTGGTACCTCCCGATCCAGGCCTGAATGGCTGTCTGAAACTTCATGTGCATATTATACGTGATCTGCACGTGCAGGCAACCTCGCACTACTGAGGCAACGATATCGACTAGGCTCGTTCGCGTAATGCTGTCGCCCGCATCGAGGGCGCCTAAGCCCTCAAGATCATCTGCGTGAAAAAGGGCGTCGGAGCGCTCAAGCTGGTCGAAAGATTCTGCGTATTGAAAGGCCACCTCCACGGGGTGAGAGTGTACTCGTGGATGAGCAGAGTGAGGGGCGAAGTAAGCCCATTCATCGGCATTAAGCGCTGCACGAGCATCTTTGACTCGACGAACGATGCCCAGGAGGCCATCCGCCTTTACGCCCACTTCGTCCTCACCCAGTACCAGCGGAATAAGCGCTGAGAAGCAGCCGACCGTGCGGGAGACATCGACCTGAGGATCCGCTGATATCCTTCCATCAGCTTTATTGAACACCAGCGGCAGCGGGCGATCCGGAAAGGTTGATCCCCAACAACACAGCAACGTGGCAAGCAGGAGATCGGGCGGTTGAGTGTTAAACGCGATGTTCGCCGGTCCAAGCAGGCATTTTGTGCTGTGGGGATCCAACTTGAATGTCTGGCACACTGCATCCTTGAACAAATTCGGTTGGTCTGAGATCCCCCAAAACTCGGTGGCACGGTGGCGGCATCTATCGGCCGTTTCTAACGGGAGAGTGACCCTGCGAGAAGGATTTTCCTCCAGACGACGCATCTGCCTCAGCGTCCACTCCCGGAATGAGAGACTGTGGCTGCTGCTACCTGGTATCCCACCGCGCCGGAGAGTCGCTTCAATGTCTTGCAGGAGGATGCACCACGACACCGAATCAGCAACCAGATGATGCGCCGCCAAGCACAGATGCTGACTACTGTCCTCCCGTACGTTGATCAGGTCCGCGCACAGTACAGGCCCGAATTGGATGTCGATACGACGAGCACACCGCTGCACCAGGTCTTCTAAGGACGCCTTCGTTGCCACATCGTGCGTCTCGCATCGCAAGGAGGATTCGACTGCGCTGGTGATCGACTGCTGCCAGACCCCGTTTGGTTGACGGGCAAACCGAGCGCGAAGCATAGGATGCCTGCGTATTACCGCTCTAACGGCACCTTGCAACGAGGTGAACTTGATAGGCTCAGTTAGCCGGAGTAAGAACCGTCGGCAGTAATGATCCCAATTTTCCCGCTGAGTTTCGAAGAAAGTCTGCTGCATGGAGGAGAGGGGAAAAGGCCGGTCCTCACCCGCCTCCGGCTGCTCCTTCGAGTGACAATGCAGAGCAATCTCAGAAAGTGTTTTGTATCGAACGATCTGGTCTGCCGATATTGTAATGCCCTCGCTTCGGGATTGAGAGACGATCTGCATGGCTGTAATCGAGTCCCCGCCCAGTTCGTAGAAACTGTCATCGGCCCCGATGCTATCAGGCGAGCGATTCAGGACCTGCGCCCAGATTCTCTGCATGTCCCACTCCATCTGGCTTTCAGGTTTGCGTTTCTCGCGAACCGGTCGGCAGGATGATACCAGCTGGTCCCACGAGTGCTGGGACGCCAGTTCTCGAAGGCGCCTGCGGTCCGACTTGCCTCCAGCGGATCGAGGCATCTCTCGCAGGGGCACAAAAACTTCCGGGACCATGAAGCCTGGGAGGACTTGCTGCAGTCTGCTCCGTGCTGCAGCTACCTTTTCTTGAAATTCTGGAGAAGGCTGGGCCAGGAGACCACCATCCGGGGCGCTCTGCGGACACGCAGAAGTCAAAACAAAAGCGACCAGATATGAGCGGCTAGACGATTTCAACATCTCCACCACCGCATCAACCAGCCCTGGGAAGCACTGGTGCAGTTGGCTCTCCACTTCGCCTAGTTCTAGGCGCTGGCCGCGCAGCTTCACTTGCGTGTCCTTGCGTCCCAGACAAAGCAATGCCCCATCTGAGTCATATTGAGCCAGATCGCCCGTCTTGTAGAGTCGCGAGGAAGGGTCCCTGACACGGTTGAAATCTGCTAGCCATGAGGGAGATTGGATAAACGCCGCCGCACTACGCTCAGGATCGTTCAGGTAGCCACGGCCGACAATGGGTCCTTCGATCAGTACCTCTCCGACGGCTCCAACGGGAACGAGGCGTTGGTGATCGCCTGGGTCCACCAACCAGCACCGCGCAGCCTGAGGAATTCCAATATTGCGGGGATCCGAGTCACAGTGGACTGTTTCCTGTACAGAAGTGACGACTGAGCATTCAGTGGGTCCATATGCATTCATCAGTCTCCATGACATTGCTGCCCATTTCTGAACGTCCGATTTGGTCATGGGCTCTCCGCCAACCAACAAAGTTTGGGTGAATGCCACCCGCCCGATAACAAATCTGGCCAGGGATGGCGTCAGAAGAACGTGTGTTGGGTGCATCCGCGCAGCCGTTTCGGCCAGTGCATTTTGTCGTTGCTCTTCCGAAGGAACGCATGCGCATCCTCCGGCGACCAACGGGCACAGCATTTCCATCATGGTGGCATCAAAGGCGTACGAAGCCACCTGCAGAAACCGGGATTCATTGTTGACCTGGAGACTCACGTTAATGGCCAGTGCTGCCGTGCAGAAGGACCGATGCTCCACGACAACCCCTTTAGGAACGCCTGTTGTGCCAGAGGTGAAAATAGCATATAGTGCGCAATTAGGTTCAGCCCTGCTGTTGGCGATGTTCTCGACACTGGAGCATCCTACGCTGCTACTATACTTCCGGCCCACCACCCTGATACTGGGCACTAACTTGGCAGCGACTGTTTGCTTCTCCGCAGAGGTCAGAGCTAGCGTGCAACCAGCGCGCTGACAGAGCGTTTTTAATCGCTGGACAGGCTGCGACGGATCCAGTAAGATAAAGGCACCGCCCGCTTTCATGACACCTAGCATAGCCACGGTCGTCCAGCGGGTTTTCTCGAAGCAGAGAGGAATGAACACATTGGGACCGACGCCGTCCGCGATCAATTCGTTAGCTAGTTGGTGGGAGAGAGCGTTTAGCTCAGCATATGTAAAACTGCCATCCCACGCATCGACCGCCAGCGAGTTGGGCGCTTCAATCACATGTCGTTGAATCAGATCATGGACGCAAGCAGCTTCAGCAGGCGGTACAGCGCCATTCCACTGGCGCAACTGCATCATGTCCAGAGAGCTCACTCGCGGTATTGCCTCGACTGACTGGTCAGGGCGGGCGAGAATGTACTGTAGCAAATGCTCGAAGTGGGCAAGAATGTGCTTCATCTGGAACTCGGAGATAACCTCTGTATCGAAATCCACGGACACTCTGATTTCTTGCGTCTCGGCAAGCTGACAGATGACGCTCAGCGCGTACGAGGAGAACCCGTGCGGGATGGCTGGGCCTGCAGAGCACATCGTGAGGATTGGTTCGCCATCATCATCTGTGTGGTCCGGCCATGCTGGCTGGACGGTAAAGTGGCTTCCAAAGGAACAAGCGTGCATACAGTCCCGGCTGTATTGCCGAATGTATTGTAGCCCAGTTTGCTCAAAGGGGATCATGCCATTAGCTTGGTCCTGAATCCGCTGCAGTACGTCTAGGATGGTGTCGTTCGCATAGAGCTGCACCCTGATAGGAACAGTGGCAATTATGGGACCAGTAATCTCTTCCACGCCACTGACCGGGGCTGCTCGTCCCATCACAGTGGCGCCAAATACTAGATCCTTCGCACTACTGTAATGGGAAAGGACTAGGGCCCAGGACAATCGCAGTATGCTTGATAACGTGCAGCCTCTGGGTAGTGTGCCGCCATATTGAATCAACTGCTCCATAGTTAGGGCTGGGTTGGGCACATAGCTCTCTGACGGCAACAATGGAAAATGATCAGTCTCCAGGCCGGCTAGTTCCGACGTCCAGTATTCTTTGGCAGCGTCATCGGGACGCTGACAGAGATACTTGACGAAAGGGCTGAATAGACTGGGAGCCAGTTCTCTGCCATTGTATGCATCTTCCACCTGCCTGCGGATTAGCTGAGATGACCAGCGATCACACACGGCGTGGTGCATGTCCAGAATAAGATACATGGTGCCATCGGCCCTTTGTTCGAGAGTACTGTTCACGAGAGCGTCCCCCAGTGACATGTGGACGGGCTCATCGTCCGTTGGCGGGAGTCTAGATGGTTGCTGCCGGAGCACAACTTGATACATCCGACCTTGATCTCCGCGTATGATCCGCGTACGCAAAATTGGATTGGCAGCGACGGTCATCTTCCATGCCGAGCGTAATAGGTCAGGATCAGTAGAGGGGGAGAGACGATAGACAAAGCGCGCGACGTAGGCACCGGATCTCCGCGCGGCTAGTGCCATCATGCCCTCTTGAAGGGGTGTACATGGATATATGTCCTCGATGCGATCCGAATTCACTCCGCAACTTTCGGCCGCCCGGGAGGTCAGGGCCTCTAACAAGCTTGTATGCACAAGAGAAAAGGGCGGCGGCGGTATGTCGGCCTCGAGATGGTCGTTCGAGTCCGCCATGTGAGAGGCCAACTCGATCAGCGAAGAGGATTTGAGAATCTGCTGGACAGATAGCTTGAGGCGTTGCCGCCGCGCAAGCCCGACTAGCTTCATCGCGAGAACTGAGTCCCCGCCAAGCGAGCAGAAGCCATGTTGCATCCCTACAATCTCGGTCGGTCGGCTCAGGACCTGCGCCACAAGCTTGTGTATCAAATGCTCTGATCTGGTTGAAGGCCTTTGGCCGACATCCGCCGTTAGACCCACGAGTCTGTTCCATTCCAGTGTTTCTAACTGTTCAACCACCTCGCGAAGTTTGTTGCGGTCTACTTTGCCTGTGATAGTCAATGGCCTCCTATTGAGCCAGACGAAGATTCGGGGCACCATGTAATCCGGAAGTTCTGCTTCTAGATGGGTGATGACTGATTTGACGCCAATATTCATCTTTTTGTCCAGTGGGCTTACCAAGGGTTCATCATCTGTGATGGAACCAGTGGCGGTTGGCTCAGCATCTGCCGTCGCCATGAACGCAACGAGAACCTTGTTCCCGTCACCATGCGAGGGAATGATTCCCTCGACTATCGAGTTACGATATTCCGGACAGGCATGCCCAATCCGTGATTCAATCTCGCCCAATTCCACCCGTTGCCCACGGATCTTGACTTGTCTGTCCTTCCTCCCTAGGAACCTCAAGGTCCCGTCCGAATCATAACGTACCAGATCGCCTGTCCTGTAGAAGCGCCGGCCGTTTAATTTACTTGGGAACCATAAGGGATTCTCAGGAAATTTGGTAGTTGTTCGTTCTACGTCGTTAAGGTAGCCCAGCGCAAGGCTCGGACCTTCAACCACCAACTCTGCTGCAGCCCCGATGGGAGCAAGCCGGTCAGGGTCGTTAGGATCAACCAGCCAATATCCGGCATTGGCAGGCTTCCCAATAAGGCTTGTATCGTCAACGGCTGATGTTAACCGTCGGGAAACGCAACAGATTCCGGCCCATTCGGTGAACCCGTATCCCTGGTACAAGTGCACAGACTCCGCCCATTGGAGAATCTGGCTCTGTTTGAGTGGCTCGCCGGCCACGACAATGGTTTGAAGGCTCGGTACTTGATCTGGCTGGAGAGTACTAAGTGAGGTCGGGGTCAGGATCGCCCAGTTGATCCGCATGGTCCGAATAACCTTTGCAAGATGGTTCACACGATCCGAAGCAGAGGGAATGCACACTGTGCCCCCGCTCGTCAACGTACACCAGAGTTCGATCAGAGAAACTCCAAAAGCAAAGGACGCGAATTGCAGCACACGGCTGGCTGGTGAGAGATGCAAAGCAGCGCTGTGGCTTGCAACGCTGGCCAGGGCCGCATGACCCACTATGCATCCCTTTGGTACCCCGGTACTTCCCGAAGTAAAAAGACAATATGCGGGCCCATGAGCCTCCATCTGGATTGGTATATCCGTCCCATCTTGCGGATGAGCATGTTGCGGCAGCTGTGTTTCCTCAGATACAACCAGTATAGACTGTATGCTATCGCCCAGTAAAGGAACATGGTCGGCAGAAGCGAGCCCCATCGGCGACATCAGCTGTCGAGCGATGTTCACCAGGCGATTTCTGGGTTGAGACGGATCCAAAGGAACAAAGGCGGCTCCAGTTTTGTTGATAGCCAGCATAGCCACCACAGCCCATAGGGACTTTTCAAAGCACACAGGCACCAGATGGCCAGGGCCGACTCCGCGTCCTACCAATTCCTTGGCGAGGCGGCCGGCGGCTTCATCGAGTTCGCAATAAGTTAAGGTCCCATCCCACGCTTCTATCGCCGGTTGGTTCGGCTTAAGAAAGACTTGCTGACGGATAATCTGATGGAGAAAAGGCGCTGTCGCTTGTATGAACTTCCGGTCATTCCACTGAGTAATCTGTGACATCTGTGCTTGGCCGACTAGCGGAATACGGTCTGGGGCGAGCTCGCTGTCCTGCAATATCACAGAAACCGCTTGTGTCAAAGAAGTTGAAATATGTTCGGCCAGCTCTGGTGTAATTGTCGGCATTCTGTGTGCAAGATAAACTCGAGCCTGTGGCCTATCCGGCGCGCACTGTAGGATGAGAACAATACTGCAAGTCTTCCAGAAATGGTGAGCTCCTTACTCCCCAACAGGCCGTCTGATGACATACCTCTTCCTCAGATGTCCATTCCTCAGAGCTGTTTATCTGATTTATAACTTTATCGCATATGACCAGGCCGCTGTTGAAAGTATGAAGCCTGTTGGGGTCGGGGGAGGACATGGTCCAATGCTCCGGGACGAAAAGCTCACGTACACTCCCCACACGCGCCATGGATGTAGACATGAGTATCATTCTTGGTTTGTAGGCCATCCCGACTGATGTGTCGTCAGTGTGAGTGAATCTTAGCGTTCCAAAATGGACTTGGTCGACCTCGGCATACCGCCGGAGAATCACCGCCCATGCCGTGGCCAGCAGAAAGGACAGCTGGACGTTTGCTTTCTGGCAAAACTGGATGCTTTCCTTCACCAGAGCTGGGGCAATCTCTTGGCTCCTCCATTGCGCTCGTTGCCCTTTCGTTGCTTTGGTCGGAAACAGACAGTCATCGCTCAAAAGTGTCTGATCCCTGGTGCGAGTCATGTTGACAGCCAAAAAGGTATAGTTTCGCTTGATTGTATTGTGGTTAAAAAAGGGCAGACTAGTCTGGAGAGAGTAAGTTCTGTAGGCTTGTATAGTGCAACATGGCATTTATACATACCCTGAGCCCTAAAAGCTCAACTTTTCAGTGGCAGACTATCAATCGGATCACTCTACAGCATGTGCAGTGCGACTAGACGTTGATTCTGTGATGATCTGCCCTTATGCTGATATATAGCAGTTCGGGTAGGCTATGTTGCAAGGTGCACAATAAATGGGTCGAGACCTAAGCACTTCTGATTCGATACTTCAAAAAATGAATTTGAGAAAAAACAAACCACCATATTGTCAATTAAATTAGAAGGTAATACTTGTGCTGTCATGCTTGTATCAATCTATCCTTTCTCAAAGTCTCCTATGGATCAGTCCGACATATGCAAGGGTCACATATCCATGTTGCATTCTTAGATTTGAGTAAAGTCTTGGGAAGTATAGGATTAGATACACATACATACAGCTACTGAATAAGTTCATCCTTGTATGGTCCCGTCAGAATGCCCCTTCTATAAGCATTATGGCTCCTTTGCACGCTCACATGCATTGATCCAGTTGGTATAACTAATATTTGTGCGGTTAAGGACGAGTGCATATAAAATATACCACAAAGCTTCTAGTCTCAGTAGCTAGGCTTGACGGTCATGGAAGACTGTTTGCTTTTAAATATATGCACTGTATTTATGTACGAGGCAAGGTGTCCTTAGTATCATAAGGTTCTAACCAAAATAGCAAGTCAATTCCGTGGCTTGATCTCATACATGGAAACCACCTCCAGACGTCCCCTAAGTCATAGAATGGGATGCTTCTCTTCCCAGCTAGTCTGGAATGAAGGGGTGAAAAATGGACAACACACAGATCGTCGTAAAAAATAAGCTTACTATTTAGTACATATGTCTATGTGATTGTCCTCTCACCCAGGACCGCTGAGTTCTCAGCTGCCTTGGCCAAACATGCTTGACTATCTGACTATCCATCATTATAGTAATCATTCTTCCTACAACATGTGGGTTGATTGCTTCTCCATAATACGCATACGGCAAGGATTTGAAGCTGCTCCATTTACGTCGCTATAGCTGTATGTCAGTTGAACTGCAGAATGTGCCCAAAGAAATGAGAAACATAACATAACCAAGTGTATGCAGATATAATCAAGTGTTATATGGAGATCTTGTGATTGATGCAGACAACAAACCCTGAGCAGTTCTGGTTCGGAAATTCTTCTCCAAATGTAGAATGTAGTAAGGGATGGTTCTTGTGTGGCATGTATACTTGGTAGCAAATGTTGTTCAAATATTTGCTGCCTTCACTAATCAAGGAGTGATTACCATTTCAGGTAAGGATGGACTAAGTACAGCAGATCTTCAGCCAGCCATCCAGGCACACATAAACGCGCGCATTTGTATGGTGGGAATCTAAAAGCTGATAGTGGATTTCTGTCAATCAGGCCTCTGTGCGGAGACACAACTCTGACTCATGAATGATGTTCCTGTTCTTCCAAATCAAGGTGAGCGATACCCAAGATAATAACTGGTGAGAGTTGTTACTCCTGTTAGGAACTTGGCAGGCGCCATAAAGGGTTGAATGGGGCTAGAAGTACTGCGTATGATGTACAGTATCAAGTAGTTTCTGATCCATCTTTTCACCTCCATTTCCCTCTGTTCCCCGGTGACATTATGCCTAGTTCTACCAGCTCCAACCTCAGAGTGGCATTGCAAAACAATCCCAACACCGCTCCAAAACAGATCCCTTCCTATCTTTAGTCTCTTACAGCATTGAAAGTTTCAAACACGGTTAGAATGCAGTGTGACCCCGGACATGAGATTGGGAGCTTTGATGGGGTTTGTTTCTCGGCCCAGTCCAGTTCGGGGAGGAGAGGCATGTTACCATGGGCATTGTCTGTAGCTGAGCTGGTAGATGACAGTGCCATGGAAGGAAAAGGTAAGCATCCCCAATTACCCCTACTAAGTACCACAACTTGTGTGCAAGGGGCTGGCCAGCAGAGCTCTTCTTGAATAGATGAACTTATGACTTTTAACATATGTAGGGTGAGAGCTCGGGCCTCGCTGACAGTAAGCAGTTCATGTCTGCCGTGTAGCCGGCAAGAATGACAATCATGCTGCCCAGGTGCGACTCCTGGGAGAGAAAGTGAATCAGCTCGTCCAGGGCTTCGGCAGCGTACTGGCCGTATATATGACGATATGCTTCGTCGATAAACAGCACTCGACCCACGGGCTGTTTCCAGGATTCTTCGGGTTTTTGGCGTGGTTTTTCCCGTTCCTGCCTTGGCCAGTATCAGATTCTGTTTGGTTAGAAGGTTTACATACCAGAGATCCCGAGAATATAAAGTTGATGGGTATCATTCGGGGCCTGATACCAAGCTCTTTAGCCTTAGTGTAGCGATTCTGGTAACCGACTAGCCTGTGAATAATCTTCTTGTCAACGCGACGCTCCAACATCTTGCGACAGTTGACGTCCGAGCGCGGTTATCAATCAAAATCTGGATCAAAGTCTGGCGTCTCAAGGTCCGCATTGGCGTCCGGACATCCAATGCCAGCCGAGACTGTCTTATTCCAAAGTTGACTCCATCAACGGCTTTGCTTTGCCAGACGGCAGGACTATTTACCTTGGGGGTGCGGATAAGCATAGGAGACGAAGAGAAGAGACTGCCGAAACTGCGTCGTCAACAACTTCATGTCCGCCGATCTGACCGACGAAGTGATAATGAAAAAAGCTTTTTGGCAAGAAGGAAAACTGCCCCAAAGCACTGCATCGCCTGATCGAGGGAAGGGGCCGGGCTGCGGGTGAGCGGTTCCAAGTGGGAGAAATTCCAGATTTTCTCGAGTCTGTTCCCCAGGATGCTGTAAACACGACAAACAAGAAGAGGGGTTTTGATGCCGTGCCCTGGTCTCTTGTCCGTAACTGTCAACGGTGAAATGGTCCACAATCACAGTCTGAGCATCGAAAAATACAGTAAGTACCGTCGCAAGTATACGGAACCCAAAGACATAGAGAAGGTAAGTACTCTTTACTTTACTATAGTTTTATATAATAATCTCTAACTAATATAAAAGACTAGGTGAGATTATTTCTCTATTAAGGATATATATCTTCTCTTAAATACTTCCTAATTACTTAAAGAAGTTTCTTAAGCTATTAATGAAAAGTATAGCTTAAGATCTTATATAGGCCTTTCTTTACTATCGTAAGTTATCCTAGGATACTTACAGAGCATATATCATAGCTAATACATTAGGATTCCTAACCACCAAAGCCACCAGCAGAGATGGATTCTTAATTACTCTGACATTCTCAGAACCCAGGGTGATGCAGAGCAAAACACCTTCTCAGGCTCAGAGAAGTCATCCTGATTTGCTGAAGAGGAAACAGACGGTTGATATAGGGCTAGTTTGTCTGGATGCAAGGCTTCCAGCCGCACCTAAAGACAGTTGCGGTTGACCTTTCCAGATGCTGTCCGGGGGATATCAATGAGAGGCAAAATGATGGATGGAACCATGGAGGGTGGAAGGGCCTGCCGGAGGGCAATCATAGCGGCTGCTGCATGGGCGCGAAATGTCGGACGGATCCCGCAAAAGACTGCTGGCCCTGTCCTTTTTGTCGTCTGGCTGCTGAGAACAGTGGATGAGTATGTGACGTTGCCGCAGATTGGGCATAAGCATGCATACCACAGGGTGAATCTGTTAAGGGAGTAGGCGACAGCGTGAGAGGTAATTCAAGTGGGGGAGGCAGTGGCTATGTCGCCTGTTCTGGGGAGATTCTGGGGAGGGAGCCAGAGGATTTTGAGACTATAATTTAGGGGTTAGTTGGGGTAAACAAATTTAGAATTAGATATTATTATAACTAATACTTAGGTAGTACCATAGTTAAAGAGGAAGGATTAGGAATTATAAGGGTCTACTTAATAGGGTAGATACTTCTAAGTAGAATAAACTAGTTACTTAACTAAGTGTTTATAGGGAGATAATAGGCTATGCACTGATGGTCTAACCCTTATTAGTAGCTCTCAGTGATCTGATAGTTAAGCTAATATTGATCAATAATATTTATTAGCCGTCTATAATATATGTCTTTGTAGAAAAGCCTAGATCAGGTAATAGATAAAATGATAGGAGTAAAGGGTGTGTTACTGTGTGTATGCCTGTATGTAAGAACTAATCATGAAGTTAATCATCTATCGCAATAGTAATGTAGAAACCCCTTTATGGGTTATATATCTAGTGATAGGCCTCTACTAGTTAGTTAATGCACCCTTTTTATATACATCATACAGCAGCTATGTAAAAGCACCACAGAGTCACTTCTCATAACTAGTTCTTAACACCTACAGGCCATTGCTTACCCCCAGGCGGCCTTTATCCTACTAGGGAATGGGTAGGCAGTGATTAATCACAGCCTACAGCTTTTAAATAATAACACACACATAACACATGTATGCTCATAACATTATTTATTATTATTATTATTATTGTTAGTTATATGTAGCATATCAATCAACAGGATTAGCTGAATTGCCAGTGATCTAGATCACTGCCCACTCTCTACTACATAATAATATATATAGCTCTAGCACTTGAGAAGAGATAAGCATTGGTTGCAAAGTAAGGATTAGAGGAAATATGTGATCATGCTATATGAACCACCCAGCTCTAAATCTAATGTGTCCTTGAACACTCACTGATATTAATCTGGATGATGTGTACTTGTGTAAGAAGTAGTGTTCTAGGCTGTTACTACCCCAGCACCAAAAAGGTTCAATGGTGATTCCCTTAGTTCCCTATGGAATCACCAGGCCTAGAACATGCTTATAAGCCTCCTGAGGCATTGACCCTACCTAGGCTGCAACCCCATGACAACTTGTTCCAACATGTGTAACAATTTATATGAAATGTATTTATAAACTAATATGTTCTCATGTCATTTCTGTAGTTGAATGTTCCTAGACAGATACATACTTACTGTAGTGTACTGTATACAAGTTTGCAATTTCACAAAATTAGAAATACAGGATAGCTAGGATAGGAAACCACTCCCTGGGTTACAGAGTGTACTTTGAATTTTGATGAGCAAGTTCTTGTCTGCTCCTCTGTAACCTTCCTAGACGTCCAGATGCGCTCTTCAGCAACCCTCTGCTAGCATCCACTAAAGGATTCAGCCACTTCATCTCCTTTTCGCCACTTCTTCCCTCCATTTCCACGCGATATGTCGTACGTCCCATTAAAGTTGGGGCACTACCACCATACACAGTCTCCCAATGACCGGCAGGGGAGTGGAAGGTTTCATGCCAGATGCTCAAATGAGGGTAGTCTTTCACAGTTGAATGATACCATTTCACAGCCTCCCGATGTAGCGGGCCGTGTGCAAACTTATGGAGTCCTTCAATGTTTTCAAAGTAGAACACGGTCATGATATTATTGTGTGTCTCGCGGTCAGCCTCAAGCCACCCATTTGAGGCTCCTAGCAAGCAATACTGAGAAGCGTTTTCATTCAGCTCAGTCATCATCGCGCCGAAGTACTTGGCCATCTTGACCGCTCCGGGTGCTAGAACGCCGAGTGGGTGATTAACACGCGTCCCAAGCAGCAACACGACTACATCACGGCTGGAAGGTTGCTCAAAGACGCCAGTGGAGGAGGGCATCTGTGAGGAGACCGGCTGAGGTATGACGCCTTCCATGTACTGATTTCGTCCGATACCGATGGAGTGCAATGTGGCCCCCATGATCTGCAGAAACAGATATATGACTAAAGGTGCAAGCGCAATGCGACCAAGTAATAATAAGAGGACAGTTTGTCCAACGGCTCCAAAACTGAGCCAATCTACTATTGAGAGTTGGTCGCGTATACGCTATACTCTGTCAGCTGTGAATAGGGATATATGATCATGAGATGGTCCTTACAGCATATAGGAAGCATTTTCTACTCTCGATCCATTGAATGTTCGGGCGTTGGCTGACGGGTTCAACAAGACTGGTGAACGGCATTTGTAGAGTTGTCAGGGCCTAGCACAAAAGATTGATTTATGACTTAGCTCAATGCAATGAGTTAGAACTAACATTCAGCTTCATAGCAAGATTCAGTTATTTGAAGTGGATTTCGGACTCTGCATGCTCTCACAGCGACAACCAAAGCTTTATACTGTCATAGGTTTTTGTCACGGCCCTGCTGGTTTCAAGATCTACTTTGGCAAGCAATTGCCCGAACAACCGAGTTTGTAATCAAATATTACATTCCACCAACCTCGGGACCATAAACCGAGGTTGTTGATATAAACGGATTATTGTACTAATGTGTTTAGAATCATACAGAACCAAGGCAAGTCTTTTTTGTTTATTAATCATGCCGGGGAAGCCTCACGTAACTTGCAATTCACCCACCAGCTGAATCTGAAAACATGTACAAGCATACCTGAGTTGTGGCAACCAATCCCAATTACTCATGTTTCTGCTCGTTAGGTTCTGCCCAGGATCTGTTACATTATGTCGCTTTTGATTGGGAGTAATCTTAGGCTTCAAAGCACAAGCCTCCGACATTCAGCACACATTGGGAGCTCCAGGCTGGAAGAAGATGCCGCTTCTGTCACGTTTGACCAAAAGTAGCAGTGGTTTGGTGGGGTTTGATATGAAAGTCTTCCTTGACCCACCATCGAATCCTAACCGGAAAGTTTTCGATTCACTTTACGTGAACACATCTGACATTTTCCTAGCGAACTACAAAAACCCCCAAGATCAAGGTGAACCTCTTCTATCTGACTCTGGATGGGACGTTTACACCCGAAGAGACATCAGAGTACCAATTCAACCTCTCAGTGTCTGGAACAGGTAAGCTCTTTGTGGATGATCGGTGTGTTGTCGACAACGAAACCACGCAGACACCGGGAGATAGCTCTTTCGGCTCCAGAACCATTGAGGAAGTTGGCTGCATCAAACTAGAACAAGCAAAAGCTACCATATTCACATCGCTTTTGGAACGCTGCCGACTCGAACATTCAACGTGGCTGGGGCGACTGCTTTCGGTGCGGGCGGACTGAGAGCTGGTGGCACTCGCAAGATTGATCTAAAAAGCGAACTCGAGAAAGCAGCTTTCATGGCCACCCAATTCGATCAGGTGATCTTGTGCGCCGGACTGAACGGCGATTGGGAGAGCGAAGGTTATTACCGGAGTACCATGGACTTGCCCCCTGGGACTGACGAACTGATTGACCTTGTGGTAGCGGCGAATCCCAACACAGGGGTCATCATCCAGTCAGGCACGCCTGTCAGCATGCCTTGGGCCAACCGTGTGCCAGCGTTGATCCATGCTTGGTACGGTGGCAATGAGACGGGCAACGCGATTGCTGATGTCGTGTTCGGCACTGTACCCGAGCGGTAAGCTACCGTTGAGCTTTCCGCATCGCAACGAGGACAATCCGGCTTTCTTGAACTATCAGAGCGAAAGAGGGCGAACGGCCTACGGCGAGGGCGTCTACATCGGCTACCGCTTCTATGAAAAGTGCAAGAGAGATGTCGCCTTCCCATTTGGTCATGGCTTGAGTTACACGACGTTTGAGCTGAGTTCGCTTTCACTCGAAGAAACCGGGGATGAGCTCACTGTGGCTCTTGATGTCCATAACAGTGGGGACGTTGATGGCGCTGAAGTCGTTCAGGTCTATGTTGGGCAGATCCTGCCCAGAATTTGGAGGCCGATCAAGGGTTTAAAAGGTTTTCCCAAGGTGTTCGTCGCAGCAGGCAAGTCCGAGCGCGTTAAAATACATACATCAAAGAAGTATGCAACAAGCTTTTGGGACGAGCAGGGGCATGCGTGGGTGCAAGAAAAGGGACAATATACTGTCCGAGTTGGTGATTTTAGCGCTCATACTCCCCTCTCTGCTACTTTCCATGTAGGGCAAACAGCTTGGTGGAAAGGACTGTGATCCCATCGCCCCAAAACCAATTGCCACCGATTGCGTTCAAGACTCGAACCCTTGGCATATGAATCCGGCGATTTGGCCATGTTTTCACTTCCACTAAAGGTTTTATCTGAAATGATTCGTAGGCTTACTGGATTTGAAGAGAAAATATTGAGTGTATGGTTAATGATGGTGAGAGCGAACCGAGAAATCTCTCACCCACAGGAAGGCAGCTAACAACAACGATGATCCATAGACGTCAAGCTGAACCCTTGGTGGATCCTTCTACTGTCCTTGATAAGGGCGAGATGTATAAACACATTGAGGAGCAGTTGAATAAGGTAAAGGAGATCGCTCCATCACACAGGGTGCAACCTCACACAATATACAAGGAAGTAAAGAATAGTTCATCCTCTAATCCCCCTTTTATAAGCATGACAGAGAAGGCAAGTACTCTTTACTTTACTATAGTATTATATAATAATCTCTAACTAATATAAAAGACTAGGCAAGATTATTTCTCTGTTAAGGATATATATCTTCTCTTAAACACTGCCTAATTACTAAAAGAAGTCTCTTAAGCCATTAATAAAAAGCATAGCTTAAGATCTTATATAGGCCTTTCTATCCTAAGTTATCCCAGGACACTCACAGAGCACTCATTGCAATTCCTGACCGCCAAAGCCACTAGCAGAGACGGATCCTCGATTGCTCTGATATTCTCGGAATTGGGGGTGACGCGGAGCAAAACAGCTTTAAATACCGATTCCACTGCTTGCTGATGGCAACTTTACTGGAGAGCAAGTCTTTGCGGCTTTATTGTTTGTCTTCGTCACGTATTTTTGCATCGATAGGAAGTGGATCACGGACGTGACTGTGTATGAGGCAACTATACCCTAATGCGTTCTGATGTGTTAGTCAGCTTGAGATGTTTAGGTGCTATAAGAAGGAATCCGCATCATGCCTGGAATATTGAGAGTGCTATTTAGCAGCAAGCAAGTCGGATGGTACCATCTCGGAGACAAAATTATCTGTGGCTGGCGAGTGGTTTGTTTTTGCCTTTTGCTTTTCTATGGTTGTTTTTCTCAATGTATTCTCATCACGCTGACTTCTTGTGCGCTCTTGCTATGGCTTCAATTGATGGTTCAATCGATCATGGATGTAAAGAAAAGTTGAAGTTGTTGTGCTGGCACTACTGAGACAGGATATGTAATCAGATCTACTGAAGGATCAGATGCCCGTTGAGGAGCCACATAACCGATAGGGCTGAGCAGTGCATGTGAGCCAGCCTGAATCCTAGCCACCAGGGCAGATACATATCCAGCATACTTCCTTATCTGCTCTACTATCCCGACATGTTCCTCAACATGAGGCAAGGTCACACGCCAACTCACAAATTTCTCTCGGACGAGATACTCGGAATCAACGCAGAAAGATCACCTTACTCTACTGCATACCGTTCCGACGCATCACTTCAAGGTCGGATGAATCATGTAGCTGTATCACACGCCCACGGAATCCGATATCCACGACCCTGATCGAACCCACGGGCGGGCTCAACCTTAACAGCCACGGCACAGGTAACCTCACGCCGCTGACGCGCCAGGTACGGGATGGGTCCTCGCAATCAGAGATCCGGGATCACACCACTGAGTGGCATGCAGAGAGACCCTTGAGGCCCGGCATCCGTGCCGGCTCGGTGACTGGGCCGTGGTTGACACTACGGTCATACTACGGTAGTGTACCAAGTACTGTCGGCGGATACACCCGAGAATATTTTGAGAACTAGGGCAATTGAGGTGGTAATAGAAATTGCGTGAGTGGTTATTGGTTGCTTTCCAGATCCATCGTCAACGGCGTCGTTGGCTATCTGGGGTACCGAACCCACTAGGTACAGGTATCTACCGATAGAGCAAGATAGCTAGACATAGTACACTACAGTGAAGAAATGTGCAGAATGCACAATGAATTAGAGAGTCAGACATGACAATTCGCTAGACTAGGAGGATTCGGGGGCTTTCGCTACATGTGCGCATATTGTACTGTACTTGCGTGCTATATTAGACATACTCCTATACCTTCTGTATAGATAGCATCGTGTCTCCTATCGATATCATCGAAATCTCGCACAGCTTCTGTCCATCTGTCCAGAGAGTAGGTACCTATCTGTCGGATTGAGGGAGCTCAAGAAACAAGGCATTGGACCAGGATAAAATCAATGCCGCCTGGATCAAGGCAATAGAAAGAATAGGGCGATGACATTGACTGGATACTTGAGTACATCGAGGCAGGTGTTTCACACGGAATCCTGTACGTATCCCAATAACTGTATTGTATTGTTGCTTGCATGCCAGAAGGAATAATACGTGTATTCTGCAGACCTACCGGCCGTAGACTCGGAGCCGAAAGAATCGCTGGTGACGAGTTTCGGCCGAAGCATCTTGGCATTAGCCCTATCCAGGTTAGTACGGTATCGCCCCGAGGCACTAAGGCACTAGATCTTCCGTTTTCTCCCTTGGTCCAACGGTCGAGGTGCAGTTGCTCGTCCACTCATTGTCGTCCGTTGAATATTTTGCATCCACTATGCGGTTATCATCGTTCAGCCACTGTGGTACTTTCGATCTCTGACATCTGGACCGGTCATCTCTGACGTCGGTGTTTTTTTGTCTTTATGCAGGAAAGGTGGTCCTGGATTCAACAGCCCTCATCGGAGCCCACCGATGCTGGAATGCCCTGCATCCGGCTGGGGTGATCATAGTTGCGCGTCACCGGTGACAGGTGGATTGCCAGACAAGCGAATACAGCTTTGCTCTAGTGACTTCTCGGCGTGGACCACGGAAAATATTGAATTGTGCACGGGCTTTATATATCTCCCGGTGCGGCCTTCCGACTTGAATTCTCTTCTTCAGATCCACGGTTCTATATCTGTCATCCAGAGCTCCTAACACATTTCGATATTTATATTTCCGCCTCCAGCTACGATCGCATCTCTTCTACACCCGGACTCAATCAGTACTCAATTAGCATCATCATCACCTGCCATGGCATACAACAGACCTGATGCCTCAACGGCATTCACCTTTGACAACGATGACCGCTTTGCCAATCAACAACCCAAAGGCCCTGATCCATTATCGGCCAATTGGAGTTATGACAGCGCCATCGATCTGTTTTCGCTGAACACCATGCTTCCCGAGACCTTCCCTCTCGATATTCCCAATGATATGCTGCTCGATCCCAAGGATTTCCCTGTGGATTTGTTCGCTCCCCCGGCTGATATCAGCGGGTTTGCAATCTCTCACTCTGGCGAGGATTCTCTCTCATCGGTATGTTTTATCTTACTGTCATGTTTACAAATTACTGACAAGGACCATCCAGGATCTGGAAAGTGAAGATCAACCATGGTCTCCCGCCTACCGTGTCTCGTCACTCGACTCGGCCACGCCAGACGCCCTTGCCGTCTCGCCACGCACAACTGAAAAGCCAACAACCCGGCGCAGAACAACCACCCAGAAACGCGAACAAGCTACGCGGTGGTCGTCCAGCCCTGAAATGACTCCGCAAGAATACCCCGTCACCTCACAGGCCACCACTTCTCCCGCCCCTGCACCCGTCTCTCCCCCTGCGGCCTCAACCTCCCGCAAGAATTCACGCAGTCTCTCCACCGACTCGCAAACACCAACAGGCCGCAATGCAGCCAAGCGAGCTGCCCACAACATCATCGAGAAGCGGTACCGCACCAACATGAACGCCAAGTTCGTCGCGCTGGAAAAAGCCATGTCCGGCAGCGGGGTCCAGAAACCCACCAAGGGCGGGTCTGGCCCCGCCTCGCTGAAGAAGTCAGAGATCCTGACCAATGCCATTGCCTACATGCAAGAGCTGCAGGACGAGAACGCCGCGCTGCAGAAGGAGCTGACGCTTCTGAAACAGAACCTGCTTCCTGGCGGGCTGTGGCGACATAGCAAGGAGAATGAGAAGTTTCGCACCTAGCGAATCATATCCATCTCTCCTTGCAATCGCTGTACACTATAATGACTTGACTTTATTAATTGGGCTACTCTCCTATCGGTGGCGCTGGGATTCCTTGACTAGTTAATATACCCAAAAGTTCTTGTGCAGTTATGCAGTGTACTATTGTATGAATGTACCACAATCTCTCTCATATGTACGGAGTTCCACGGCACCTATGTGGAATAAACCTTAATCCCAGACATGAGCGAATTACCAGAACCACTCGCTTCCTCGTAGCCTGTCGGAGAAATAACGCTAGGCTAGCTCATCTCCGCCCATTACCTCATTATCCCAGGCACCCCGGAGCTAATAGATTAGACAGTACTTTCCTGCAAGTGGTCAATGTAACGCAATCACCCTCCATGCAGATCACTCCGCACTCCGTGGCGGATCTAGACCTGGACAGACCAACCGTACCAAGTAGGATGTACTTTTGCTTCCTGGTTAGGGGCGCCGTCCAACAGGGATCTGACTTGACGGATGGGTCTGAGGAATCTACGTCAAGTTACGCTATGATGGCAGGGGATACTTGCTGAATTGGGTATTTGCCCCTTGTCCTTGTCTAAGGTACAGCGTTAGGAATGGGGGTACAGTAAAGAGGAGTTCACATGAATGGGTGCGTAAGAACGTTATCTTGTGGCGGGTAGAGTCGGGATCTCCCGCTTGATCCCTGCTGTTTGTGTTTGTGGCCATTTAACGAACGGGGATGCGAGGCGAAGGCGACTAATGCTGATATGACACGGCTGTTCTTATTCTTCATGCGCCAATAATCTGGCAGGGATCGAGCTCAAATGAAGATCAGGATCGACGTTGGACTAGGTAAATGGGTACCTTCACCTCCACTCCGCCAAAGAACGCTCCTATTGAATGAGTGGCTTTGACGGTTACTTGAAACAGGTTTCGTGCAGTCGATGATACTACTAGTGAGACAGCAATAACCCCAAACCACGTACGAAGCACAATCCCTCGAACCCTATCTGAAAAATCTCGCTTATGGGTCGGAAGCTTACAGGAACATGCCGTACGTATGCTATATGTGACCGTAGGTTCGAAAGGGCGGGATCTGGAGTGGGCACGGCCGGCAGTCAATGCCTGAAGAGAAAGGATGAGTACAAGGTGCCTTGCGAGTGGTAGAGGCCAGTGCCTTCGTGTGCTGGAGATTGGCCTGGGAAGGTTGTTTCTGCGATGACCAGATACGCGCCGAGGCCTGCGACTGAAAGGGTATGAGATTGACACGATATTCGCTGGTGTTCTTTGCATTACTGAGAGTCCAGCAGAGAGCTTCAGTCAAGCTGGTTACTATGCCGGTTATAAATCAGCTTTTCGCTAATGTGCAGCATTTCGAGGTGCCACATGCACCTAAAGCTAGGTTCACTCTAGGGAGTAGAGTCATCCTTGGGCAGTGATCAGCGTCCAGGACAAACCGACAATGTCAAGATCGGCCAAGGCAATGTCAGACATAGGTGTCTGGCCAGTCAGTGTGGTAAAACTGGAGAGAGAGTTGAGGGGCATCACTGAGGTTTGAGCAAGGATGTTATGAGCCAGAATGGTAACGAACGCAACCACATCAGCTTAAACAGCTATCAACCAACGTCATCGTCTCTCGCAAGTCTTTATTCCACTAATTTGGACCGACTGAGAAGCCAGGAGAACCTGAGAACCTGCACCCTAGTTAATATGGACCACGTAAGAGTCTGTACAGCTGTTTGTGAAAATGATGACTGGGTCCTATACTTCCTGGCATCTTTTCGAACCCAAATGCCAAGAAGAGCTAAACACTTTCGTATTTATTCCGAGAGCCCTTGATTCTTAGTGGGTATTGTATTTTACAAATGAACATACTTATGACAGAACATAACCTACAGCGCCTTGTATGAAGCCCCTTAATGCCCCTCTATAAACATCTTCCCCATCTCACTTGAAGATCCTTCTGAAGTTCCTGGTCGATCATTTTAGGGCAGCAACAGGATGGCACCCAAGTTAGCTGCATCAACATTAGAGTTAACCCAGGTCATGATCATCAGTAATGAACTCACTATCCTACAAATGGAGAGGCTGCCGGCTGCAATGAGCATATAATCAGTTGGCTATAGTCTAATGACTCTAATATACGCTATTTTAGTAGTGTGAAAGCAGCTCCTAATACGGAGTAAAGAGGACGGCTATAAACACTCACGCCTGTTATGATTCAACCTCTTTGGGATTAACTGATTTAAAAAGCCTTATTTATACCTTGATGAGATGGTGCTTTTACATCGGACGAATTATAGAAGAAGGTAAAAAAATCCCATCTCAGCTATACTCTTGAACACATAGGCTGGTTAAAGAAGGTTATAAGCAGAAGGCAAGAGAGCAGCACACCAATCTACCAGATGCATACCTCCATTTCATCTTTGACTTTGCTTATATCATTTTTATATGGATGAATCTGGGTGTAATAAAAGGATACATTTCAGACAGACTGGCTGGTCTCCTCACGGCGTAGCACCTATGTGAGTGGCTAGATTCCATCATGGTCAGCAATACCAGATTCTCCCAGCTACGCTTAAGATGGGGTTATCTTCTCTAAGGCTTTTTCAAGGTTCAGTTAATCCATCTGTCTTGAAGAGTTTATCGCAGAGCTGCTTCATTATTATGGGAAATGGCAGAGCCTTGAACTGAGACACAGGAGCAATAGCGTCATTTTTTGCGCTTGTTCACAATAGGCAAGAGCTCTCCTGAGTTCCTGCCACTTGAAAGTCTTGGCTCTGGAATCCATCATTGGTCACTAAAGAGAGCGAAGGAATCCCTGCGTCACTAGAGTGATCGATGCCCGCGGCAACTTTGGAAGAGGAAGTCGGCCACAGGTCGGGACACCTCTGGTTGGCCTCTATCTGAGACTACCTCGAGCACCACCTTGCAAGGTCACTAAATTTAATTAAGCTCCCTGGATCCCCAACTGACTAATACAATTAGAAAAAATGGTTGTTTCCCTACTCCGAGCTTGGGCTGGTCTGGAGCAATAGGGTGAAATTCACTGACTGCGCTTCATGACTTAAAGATCCAGTGGCTAGCTAGATCCTTACCTAGAAAATGAGTCGCTTTGTCTAATAAGGTTGCCCTGTGACTAGGCAGCAAATAAGGGTACCAACTAATTTGGCTGCCTGGGGCGACTCTCGACCACATCGCCTGTTCGCCCGACGCTGGCGGTCTTAGCTGTATAAAGAAGCAGGCTCCCCACCAGGCTTAGTGCTGAGATCCAGCACTGAACCTCACTACGCCCCTGCTCAGCACGTGAGTTGTATATCCTTGCCTGCTCGTAGCAGCCAGGATCAAGCCTGCTGCTTCCCAACTTATTAATATCTTCATTCTCCGGAGGATTAGCGCCTGCCACCCCTCATTTATACTTACTAAATGCTCTTCTAGTACTCCTGCGTGAGTTTTAAAAGGTATGAGATCCCTTTCCTCCTATCCTTTTTTTTTTTTTTTTTTTTTTCCGTCTAGGGCTAATTACACCACTCTATAAGATCATCGCTTGATCCAATAGCAACATGAAACCCCTTACCTACCTCTCCCTCCTCCTCGGCATCTCTGCAACCACCACCCTCGCCGCTCTCCGACCAGACGCAACCCCCGATGAGGTCGCCGCGGCGGTAGCTGAGTGCGGGCCCCTGGGCGTGATGAGGATCGACCCAGCAGAGCTGCCCGAGGGCATTAAAATGTCCGATGTCCGCATGTGCGCCGACCATCCTCTCAGCGCAAGGGCACACCCGGGTCCTGGGGCTTTCGCCAGGTTCCGTCAGTTCTTGTCGAGTTGGGTGTTTTGAGAGGACGGCCGGGAGCTAGTTTGGTGCCCTGTAGATAGTCCAGCACGTAGGCTTCGTCTGCTCACGCGCGGGCTAGTTTTTCATACCCGGTCTGATTGCCTGCGCTGTGCGGTGGGAGCAGCCGTTTGGGAATGGAACTCTTGGAAATGTATGGTGGCTCTTAAGTGATATGTTCTAGTTTAGTAATACTTTTCTCCTTCAGGGTCCTACCAGCAGTACTAACCCTTATACTATCAAGATGGCCCAAGGTATTGCACTTTCCAATACATATCTTGCTACACTGAAGGCTATCCTAAGGGGACTTTAGCATCAATTTAGTTATCTTAATTACAGAACATTCTATTTATTACTAAGGGAGTTCCTCTTATGTCAGTATTCCTTAGCAGGGGGTGGGTGTCCTCTATATAATCAGTAGAAATAGAATCCTTAGTTTTTATGGCACTTATAAAGCAGATTTTACCACATTTAGAGCTGCTTATTTATAGCTATCCAATCAATATCTGTCTTCTTAAAGCATTTCATAAGATCGCGCTGTGAGCGATCATTTACAGATACCACAACGGCCGTACCATCAGGTACACTAAGAGGAGGATCTTAAGGTAAGGAAGGTAAGAAGGGTGATATATAAAATAGTAGCCTCTTAAGGGCAATACCAGACTTCACAGAGGCATTGCAGAGGTTTCAAAGCACGCACCACAGGGCTACTAAACAGAATATTAGGCATGTAGGCAACTACAGGCCATGACAAGGCTCTAAAGTCATAAGAAAGTAATAGTTTTATACATAGAAAGACATAGGGACTAGATAGTTTTATCCACCCTAGAGGAGGGATCAGGGTATGAATTCATCATCAGCATCAACTGTAATGGTCCATCAGACAACCGGAGACACCTAACACTTCAGGAGCAGACGACCGAGGAGACTCAAATCTCGGGAATAACAATAGATTGATAAGATTAGGCCCCACTGATGCTAATAACTTTCTATTCAAAGCATCAATGCAAGGTTAAATTTCGTTAGTTGCATGAGACTGTTGATCTTCCACCCATATCTCAACAGACGCGTCATCTTCAGTGGGCTTTCTCGGAGCCAATGACGCGGCCGATCTGTCCCACAGCACTCGGTCTGCGCCGTGTTTGATCCTTGTGGGAGGCAGCCTTGGGGAACATACTTGAGATGATAAAATCCCCACAATTCTTCACCTCCCACCGGATACGACTTTATCCGGAATCGCAACCATTCTGCGATTGTGGGAAACTAGTACGTCCGGCCCATGATCAAACGCAGGAACGGCTCTTAGTCCCCAATTTACCTGCTTTAGCTTCAAGTATACGTACATCAATTTCCTGAAGGATTAAGGAGGAAACATGTGTTTGCATGCTTGTTTCTATCATCTAACGTGTTCCGGGTCTGTCACCAGCTTTCTCCCCAAACATGGGCTTACGTACTTGTGCGCATCCACAAGCAGATGACGACGACAATGAGGTCTGAGCCTGTTCTCAGCTAACCTGGGATGGGTTCAGTATGCTTGACGAATGATAAGATCTGCGTGAGCCTGGACGCTACTTCATATAAAGCCCATATCGCATACCAATCTTGGACCGACTCACATTCGTTGATCTGTCACTCGTTCTTGTCACTCCTTGACTCTCATCATGCGTACCTCTCACGGCGGAGCTGTTGCTGCTCTGGCAGCGGCAGCCAATGCTGCATCACTCGCTGACGTCTGCACCGTCTCCAACGTGCAGTCCGCCCTTCCTTCGAACGGAACACTTCTCGGTATCAACCTGCTTCCTTCCGCCGTGACTGCAAGTGCGGTCTACAACTCCACCTCCAGTGGCGGCATGGGCGGCATGGGCGGCTCCAGCAGTGCCAACTACCCCTACTGCAATGTGACGGTCACCTACACTCACCCCGGCAAGGGCGACAAGGTGGTAGTCAAGTATGCCTTCCCCCAGCCCTCCGACTTCAAGAACCGGTTCTACGTTGCCGGCGGTGGTGGTTACTCCCTCTCCTCCGATGCCACTGGTGGTCTGGAGTACGGTGCAGCGTCTGGTGCCACCGATGCGGGTTACGATGCCTTCAGCTACAGCTACGACGAGGTGGTCCTCTACGGCAACGGATCGATCAACTGGGACGCCACGTACATGTTTGCCTACCAGGCCCTGGGCGAGATGACCACTCTCGGAAAGACATTGACCAGAAACTTCTACGGTCTGTCCAGTGATGCCAAGGTCTACACCTACTACGAAGGATGCTCCGACGGTGGACGCGAAGGAATGAGTCAGATTCAGCGCTACGGCGACCTGTACGACGGTGCCATCACTGGTGCCCCGGCTTTCCGCTACGCCCAGCAGCAGGTCAACCACGTCTTTCCCTCGGTTGTTGAGTCGACTCTTGATTACTACCCTCCCCCTTGCGAACTGGCCAAGATCGTCAACGCCACCATCGAGGCTTGCGATCCTCTCGACGGCCGCACTGACGGCGTTGTCTCCCGGACCGACCTCTGCAAGCTGCACTTTGACCTTTCGAAGATCGTCGGCGAGCCGTACTACTGCGCCGCCGAGACCAGCACCTCGCTCGGCTTCGGCTTCAGCAAACGCCAGGCACCCGGCAGCACGACCAGCTACCAGCCTGCACAGAACGGCACCGTCACCAAGGAGGGCGTGGCTGTCGCCAAGGCCATCTACGACGGTCTGCACAACACCCAGGGCCAGCGCGCCTACCTCTCCTGGCAGATTGCCTCGGAATTTTCCGATGCCACCACGGAGTGGAACAACGATACCAGTTCTTGGGAGCTTAGCATTCCGTCCACCGGCGGCGAATTCGTAACCAAATTCGTCCAGCTCGTGGACCTCGATAACCTGTCCACACTTGACAACGTCACCTACGACACCCTCGTCGAATGGATGAACACTGCCATGGTGCGCTACCTGGACAGCCTGCAGACCACGGTCCCGGATCTTACGACTTTCAAGTCCTCTGGCGGCAAGCTGCTGCACTACCACGGTGAATCCGACCCCAGTGTCCCCGCCGCCTCGTCCGTGCACTACTGGCAGTCTGTGCGCTCCATCATGTACCCCGGCGTGTCGGCCTCGAAGAGCCTAAAGGAACTCCAGGAGTGGTACCAGTTTTATCTTATCCCCGGTGCAGCGCACTGCGGCACCAACTCCCTGCAGCCTGGACCCTACCCGCAGAACAACATGGAGATTATGATCGACTGGGTGGAGAACGGCGTGCAGCCGAGCCGACTGAACACTACTGTGTCCTCTGGCGACTACGCCGGTGAAACTCAGATGCTCTGCCAGTGGCCTACCCGTCCGCTGTGGAAGGACAACTCGACCTTTGACTGCGTCAACGACGAGAAGTCGATCGAGAGCTGGACCTATACTTTCCCTGCTTTCAAGGTTCCAGTCTACTGATCACTGCAAGACTTGTATTCTTCACTTCTACTACGCATGTAGCTTGGATTAGTTACCATTTCATTCAAAGAGATATAATACAGATCATTTAAAGTATTTCCATCAACACTTCATTTACAGTCAAGTCAATTCATATACAGTCAAGTCATCAGATCGAAATCACTCCCGCTTCTCCAAGCTCTCCCCATTCGACATTCTCCTATATCCCGTCAGCTCCTCAGCTCTGTCCCTACCCCAACCGCACGCTGGGAACAAACCTCTGAAACTCCTCAATATCCCTTGCCATATTCCCGGCACCACTACTCCTCCGATCAGGATGATCGTTATGCGACTGTCCGAAATTCCCGAGTAGCTCGTTGAATTCTATAGCAACCATCATCGTCAGCATCTCTCTGCACTGGCAAGAAAAGGAGAGGAACATACCCTGCTGAGTCTGCTGATGCCGCTGCTCAGCCTCTTCTTTCTGAGCGGCGGACCTGCGGCGGTCGTGTTTGAGGTGTCCGTGTTTTTGGAGGAGGTCCATTATATATTATCTTTCTAATCTTTTGTTTCGTATGTGGTTGTACAATGCAGTGATGTTTGTAAAGATAGATAATGTGATAATGGCCAGGGTATGGATGATGTACCTGTCTTTATATATGCAATGGCATTAAAGAATAATTACATCATGATCTACCATTAGGTACTCTTCACAGTGAATGTATCTCTTTCTTGTTGATGAATTGAGGGGGACTGGTTGGATGTGCGTGGCGTGCGTCATAGTTTAGTGATCTGGTCTGGGCGGATGCGGGGGTGGCCACGCCCAAGGCCTGGAGGGCAACAGCTCACGAGTAGTAGGTTTAAAGCTACTGTATATGTTGGATGTGGCTGTGCATGTGCTATTGTATTATAGATGATATCCTTGTTTGTGAGGATTGATGGCTCTGAAGATACCGGGGTTGTACCAGCCGGTCGGATCCAGTTTCTGCAGCGTCCATCTGGCGCTACAACGAGTAGTGTCTTCCGTTAGATAAGCGTCGCGACATGGGACTTTTGTTGCAATCAGATACTCATAGAGAATCGCAGTGACTGCTTCATGAGTCACTGATGGCATAGGCCAAGTGCCGAGCTGATATTCCTGGTAGGCGTATCACGTAGTCTGAGCCACGCGACCAAGTTTGGGTTTCTTCACACCTCAGGCCAGCCTCAGCTCAGCCAAACGGTGGAGACATCGATGATGTCGCAGTCAAAGTCAACGGTCTGGCTGATATTTCTGATCATCCCTTTCGTCCGGATTATGCTGAGGACGAGATCAGTCCGTTGGCGGTCGTTGGCATAATGCGAGACTGAGCAAGTTAGTTATGTATTTATCAGATGCTGCACATATAGTTAATACGTACAGTGTTTGTACATAGAAGTGGTAGGTGCATAAAGACCATGCCATGGTTATGTTCTCCAATGTAGTCTGGTTGTGTCCATTGAAGACTATATTTAGACTGGCGGAATCTATCACTCTGCCATGGCTGATCATAATATGATTGATATCTGGATCAGGGGAGGTAAGTCGTGTACGGAGTAAATATAAGGAGTTGACCAAAACCTTGGTTCAGATTTCTGGGGATGGATACCCGTGTTATGGCTGGTCCGAGTTCAGACTGAATTCTTCGATACACAAGCCAGCAATATCACATGTTGTGCACTACTGTTTGACAGATATATGTCTATGCTACTGCGGACTGGATGAATCCGCCAACACGTGATACTGCTTACTTGCCAAGAAAGGAGCAATTAAGTCCAACATCGTAATCCTGGCAAATCCTGGCAAAGTCTAACAGAGTAGATGCCAGCAAATTGCCATTGTCTAATGCCAAGCGAGTTAATATCGTCCCTCATCTAGCGGAGGCAAGCTACAGCAAGCTACGGCAAGCCCTGGCAAGCCTCGACCACTCATGCTTGTAGCGACCAAGCTTAGGGCGAGACATTGGCAAATAGGATGACCAGACCAATCATACGCCTATTCATCATTTCTTTCCCTTATCACCATTGACTTATCAGCGGTGTTTAGTTGTTGGTGTTGGATAATGGATACTACCTACTCCATCTTCATCCTCAATGCAATTGGCGGTACGGACCTTGCCGAATTGCAACTGCGGACGGAGTAATCATTGACACTGGACCGAGGCAGATACAAACTGGATGCGTTCTGTAGAGTAAGGATGGTATTCCTTGATAACACCAATAATAGTGTTGACAGTCCAATAATTGATTTTGCTGTCAAGAGTACACTGGGTGTGTGCGAAGGGACTGGTGCCTGGCAGCCTGACTCGTGTGGCCATGGGCGATCAGTCTTGGCAAATTCTCAGAGTTTCAAGGATTCCAGATAAACAAACAATCGCATTAGAATTGGACAGACACACTTCCACATCATGCAATTCCTCGTTCATCTTCATCAATTCAGCAATGACAAGTCAGACGGAAAACCCCGCACATGCTAGATTGCCTGCTATCTATCTACACTGCACATTCAATCTCCAGGACCAGTTCTAGCCGAAATGAGTCTGCCCCCCGGTGGAGCTCTCCTGACGATCCCTCCCTGATAAGCCAGTCTCCAAGACACCAAGACCACCCCCTCGCGCCATGTAACTCTGCAGGACCACCCGGAATTCCCGCCAGGGCAGATCCAATCGAAAGGCGATCATGTCCTGGATCCAGCGGCCTAGCAGGACCCCGTCGGTCCTCCGATTTGCTAGGCTCTCTCCATTGAGCTGCTTACTGTCGCTGTCTGTAGCAACAGGTATGCAGCTGACGAGATGCAGTTGATCAGTGATCGGCCACTGTTATAAATATCCTATCACCTCAGCCCTCTCTCTTCACCCTCAGTTCCCCATCCATTCTCCTCCATCGGTCCATTGACAGCAGCGACATGTTTTCGTCGCTCGTGAACCGTGGAGCTCTGCTCGCGGTTATCTCTCTCCTGTCCTCTTCCGTTGCTGCCGACGTTTTTGAGAAGCTGTCCGCTGTGCCACAGGGTTTGTGTCCCGTATCACTGGCTAAGAGACGAGGCTGACCAAACAGGATGGAAATACTCGCATACCCCCAGTGACAGCGATCCCATTCGCCTCCAGATCGCCCTGCAGCAACATGACGTCGAAGGTTTTGAGACCGCCCTCCTGGAAATGTCCGATCCGTACCATGCCAACTACGGCAAACACTTTCAATCTCACGACGAGATGAAGCGGATGCTGCTGCCCACCCAGGAGGCGGTCGACTCGGTCCGTGGCTGGCTGGAGTCCGCTGGAATTTCGGATATTGAGGAGGATGCAGACTGGATCAAGTTCCGCACCACCGTGGGCGTGGCCAATGATCTGCTCGAGGCCGACTTCAAGTGGTACGTGAACGAGGTGGGCCACATTGAGCGTCTCAGAACCCTGGCATACTCGCTCCCCCAGTCGGTCGCGTCGCACGTCAACATGGTTCAGCCCACCACGCGTTTCGGACAGATCAAGCCCAACCGGGCGACCATGCGCGGTCGGCCCGGGCAGGTGGATGCGGACATCCTGTCGGCGGCCATCCAAGCTGGCGACAGCTCCACTTGCGATCAGGTTATTACCCCTCAGTGCCTCAAGGATCTGTACAACATCGGCGACTACAAGGCGGACCCCAAAGGGGGTAGCAAGGTCGCGTTTGCCAGTTTCCTGGAGGAATATGCCCGCTACGACGATCTGGCCAAGTTCGAGGAGAAGCTGGCCCCGTACGCCATTGGACAGAACTTTAGTGTCATCCAATACAATGGCGGTCTGAACGACCAGACCTCCGCCAATGATAGCGGCGAGGCCAACCTCGACCTGCAGTACATTGTTGGTGTCAGCTCCCCCGTTCCAGTCACCGAGTTCAGCACCGGTGGCCGGGGTCTTCTCATTCCGGACCTCAGCCAGCCCGACCCCAACGACAACAGCAACGAGCCGTATCTGGAATTCCTGCAGAACGTGTTGAAGATGGACCAGGGCGAGCTTCCTCAGGTCATTTCCACCTCCTATGGCGAGGACGAACAGACGATTCCCGAGAAATACGCTCGCTCAGTCTGCAACCTGTACGCTCAGCTCGGCAGCCGCGGTGTTTCGGTCATTTTCTCCTCTGGCGACTCCGGTGTTGGCGCGGCTTGCTTGACCAACGACGGCACCAACCGCACCCACTTCCCTCCCCAGTTCCCTGCGGCCTGCCCCTGGGTGACCTCGGTGGGTGGCACGACCAAGACCCAGCCCGAGGAAGCCGTGTACTTTTCGTCCGGCGGTTTCTCCGACCTGTGGGAGCGTCCTTCCTGGCAGGATTCGGCGGTCAAGCGCTATCTCAAGAAGCTGGGCCCTCGCTACAAGGACCTGTACAACCCCAAGGGCCGTGCCTTCCCCGATGTCGCTGCTCAGGCCGAGAACTACGCCGTGTTCGACAAGGGGACGCTGCACCAGTTTGACGGAACCTCTTGCTCGGCTCCCACCTTTAGTGCCATCGTCGCTTTGCTGAATGATGCGCGTCTGCGCGCTCACAAGCCCGCGATGGGTTTCCTGAACCCCTGGCTCTACAGCAAGGCCAGCAAGGGATTCAACGATATTGTCAATGGAGGTAGCAAGGGCTGCGATGGTCGCAACCGATTCGGGGGTACTCCCAATGGCAGCCCTGTGGTGCCTTATGCCAGCTGGAATGCCACCGATGGCTGGGACCCGGTCACTGGCCTAGGTACTCCTGACTTTGGCAAGCTTCTGTCTCTTGCGATGCGGAGATAGTCGCATACTTATTCAGAATACAAATGTGAATATTCCCTTGCACGTTGATAGCGAAGTTGTACACCTGTAGAACGAACGATGGGTCACAGCCCGAGTTCAGATCATAATGCGGCTAAATACCAAGCGAAGCGAGTCCGTGGGTTCAGACAATCAGCGCCCGACCTCGTATCGCAGAGAACTACCCAATCCTCAGGCTCATGCGAACTAGACTTTGGAGCCGCCAAGCAAGAAATACGAGGTTGTCCCGTCCAACACACCACAGCAGCCATACCCCTGCCACATAAAGTACTCGCCTTTTCCCAAACCTTTCAATCGCAGAATATAGAAGACTGCAGTGCGTTGAAAATGCTCCTCTCACTTGTTACCGTTACTGCAATCCTCCAGCTGGCGATAGCCACCAACGTCAGCCCACCGATCCTCTACGCCCGCCACGCAGCACAGGACGGGTCTCTTGAGAAACGCGCAACCTGCGCAGATGGCGGGCAGTGTCTTTTGGGCTCGTGCTGCGGCGACGGATGCGCCTTGAACTGCTGCGCGTTGGATAATGGCGGCTGTAGCCTCTCCCTTTCCCTTCCCCTCTCCCGCTGTTCTACGTTCCGCTACTAATGAGTGATGATGATGACACAGTGGGCTGCGGAATCGCAGAACGGTGCCAGTTCCGCGGGAATGTGTTTGTCGGTTGTTGTGGGAATTTCCTCGGGTAGGTCATTTCCTTCCTGGCAGAAGGCCAAGGTGCTGACGGAACAGGGGCTGCACGGGCGAGGCCACACGAGTCACTGTCCACACGCCTTACTCGACTGTTACACTCGGTGCGGCGACGGATGCGAGGACTACGAGTACGGCTACTACCACGAGGGAGGAGATGTTTACGGCGATTTCGGTTACCCCGACTGCCACTGCCACCGCGACCAGCACCACTACCACAACTACGTCGAGTGAGAGGGAGGGAAGTTCTTCGCATTCTCATCGCGTGTCTGCGTCAAGCACGAGTGTAAAGGCAGAAACCACTAGTAGCAGTCATCGTAGTACCACCACGACAGCGGTGTTCTCGCAGGCTTCGCCGTCGCCGAATAATGGCGGCGGATCTGGTGTGGGTATGGAAATGCCTGTTCTCGCTGGGATGGCTGCGTTGGGTGCTGTTCTGTTGTGAGGAATTGATCGGAGACTGGAGAGTATATCTTGGATCTATATATACCTAATGGATAATAATGTTTACCCCGCATTGTTTTCGTCAGCGTTGCGGAAAATGTCTCATGTCCGCGTCTCCGACCATTGGAGCGCAAAGTACAGAGTAGAGCAGATGAGACGCAGATCGAATGCTTATTCGCATCGACTTTCCTTTTCAGGATACTCCTTTGTTCTTGATACAACCGAGAAAATGTTCCTGAGATATTTGAGCTCCTATCAGCTCTGGTGGATATTCCGCAGTCAGGAGGTCCAGCCGAGAAGGTTAACCCCGCAAAGTGAAAAATCTAGCGAACCGAACTGTGGACTGCGGATTTTGCGCCAGCAAATCACTCGCGCGCCAGTTATCAATGTCATCACCAAGATGATGATCCCTCATTACCAATAATCGGAGCCAGTACCTAGACTAGACTGTATCTTCTATCTGCGTCTGATACCCGCATTGCATCCTTCGTGAGGGGAAGGGAGGTATCCGTGTCAGTTTCAGTGTCGGTGTCTGCCGGGCATATATGACCCAGCCCTGCACTGCATGCAACACAATGGACACGTCTGATATTTCTCATCACCTCATATTCATCACATAATTGTTGTAATTGCTGTACTGCTGTGCTGGATGGACGTGGAAAACCTCAAACCGGCCGATTCGGCCTCAGTCGACCAGAGCGTGCAGGATGCGCGCGATCTCGCCACCATGGGGCACGACCAGGCCCTGACCCGCAAATTCGATTTGTGGAGTATGCTCGCGCTGGCGTTTTGCGTATTAGGTATTTTCTTTCTTCAGGCCTGCTGGGATAGTGACGATGCTGATGCTAGTAGGAACGTACTCGACTTTCGCGCAGGGCCTCAGCAGCGGGCTCACCAACGGCGGCCCCATCACCATCCTCTGGGGCCTGGTGCTCGTGACGGCGTGTAATCTCTGCGTTGCTGTCTCGCTGGGCGAATTGACGAGTAGCATGCCGACGGCGCTGGGGCAAGCGTACTGGGTGTACAGGCTGTGGCATACGCCGACGGGGCGGTTCGTGTCGTACCTGTGTGCGTGGATCAACACGTTTGGGTGGTGGACGCTCACGGCGTCGCAGATTGCGTTTATGACGGAGTTCCTGCTGGGGATGAAAGTCATGTTTGAGGAGAATTGGGGTGGTGCGGGAGTCGGCTGGCTGCAGTTTGTGATTTATCTCGGCCTGGTGTTGGTGCTGACGGTCGTGAATGTGGTGGGGTGTCGACGGGAGAAGATCCTGCCGTGGTTGAATGGGTTTGTGGGGGTTTGGTTTACTGGGTTGTTTGTGGTGCTGTCGCTTGCGCTGTTGATTTCGGTTGGGACCAAGGCAGAACTGTCGTTTCAGCCGGGGAGGTTTGTGTTCGGGACGTGGATTAACCAGACGGGGTGGAGTGATGGGGTCGTGTGGTTTACTGGGTTGGTGCAGGCGGCGTATGGGCTTACTGCGTTCGACGCGGTTATCCATATGGTCGAGGAGATGCCGGCGCCGAGGATCAACGCGCCGAGGGTGACGTATCTGGCGGTGCTGTCGGGTGCTGTCACTGGGTTTATCTTCATGGTCGTCTGTCTGTTCTGCATGCAGGATGTGGATAGGATTGTTGACTCGCCCAGTGGATTGCCGTTCATCGAGCTGATGCTGGAGACGGTCGGCCTCAAGGGCGGGGCCACGCTGATCGCGCTTTTCATTTTCAATGGCGTCGGCCAGGGCATCAGTATCCTGACGACTGCATCCCGCCTGACCTGGGGGTTTGCCCGCGACGGCGGTCTCCCCTGGAGTCGGTACCTGACGGTGGTGGATCCCGCGTGGAAGGCTCCTGTGCGCGCGCTCTGGGCGCAGGGGGTATTGATTGCGCTCGTGGGCGTGCTCTATCTCTTTGCCAACACCGTTCTCGAAGCGATCCTGAGCGTCAGTACCATTGCATTGACCATCTCATACGCCCTGCCAATTGCAGTCCTACTCTTCGTGGGCCGGGACCAGCTGCCGCCTGGTCCCTTTCGCCTCGGCCGCTGGGGAACAGCAGTCAACTGGATCAGCATTGTATACTGTGCCATTACCACGGTCTTCTTCTTCTTCCCTGGCTCGCCTGACCCAGCGCCAGGGGACATGAACTACGCGATTGCGGTGTTTGGGGTGATGCTCGTGGTTGCAGTCGGGTTCTGGCTTATACAGGGCAGTCGGACGTATCTACAGACGGCGGATGCGATAGCGCAGCTGATACTCGCCCAAGGATTGGAATTGGAACCGGAACCTGGGAAAAAGTCTGATCAATGATATGCCTATGAAACTAGTTATATACTAGCTAGCTCCGCCTCCGCTTTTATAATCATTTCCTCCCAGTTCCTGCCCGCCAGCCACTCCTCAAATGACTTTGTCCGTATCCCCAGCTGCTCAGGCATCGTCACCTCGAGCGAGCCCGTGTACCCAAACTCGGCAATAAAGCCCGGCGCATCCAGTACCTCCCAAGGGAGCTTGAACCGCTCATGCATCTCCTGCAACTCCGCCTCCTCAACCTCAACCTCCCACCCCGTCACCCTCTTCCACACATCGACCACCTCCTCCATGGACAGGTAGCTATCGCACCCCAGCACCCACTTGCCACTCTCACTCTCGCCCTCACTCTCAACCATCACCCTAACAAACTCCCCCGTCGAACTCTCCGCCGCAATGATCGGCATCCGCAGCGTCTTCTTCCCGGGAATAGTAAACCGCAACACTCTCTTCTCGTCGCCAGCGGCAGCATTAACCCTCGGCAGAAACAGCGGGTTGGTCGCGTACGCCCCCATCACCAAAAACGACACCTTCCCTCTCAACCCCTCCTCTCTTTCCAAAATCTTGGCTACCTCCGCCTTCGCATCCCAGTGATACGAAGATATATACTTCCCCCCAGATAACTCCTTCATCCCGGGCAGCGTGGAATACACCACCCTCTTTAAAGACGCTACCTCCCCCGCCGCGATGGCTGCATTCCGCCCATGCAGAATCTCAGTTTCGTATGCTGCAGTGCTGTCCCGGGTAGCGCGGTACGGGCCCCAGAAATCGGTGTTGAGGAAGAGGGCTGTGGCGTCTTTGAATGCGGCCCGGAGCGAAGCAAGGTCGGAGAGGTCGGCATGTACCACTTCTGCGCCGGCGGCGGCTAGGGCTTGCGCGGCGGGGGAAGAAGGGGCGCGGGTTATGATGCGGACGTGCCAGGTCGGGAGGGGGAGGAAGGTGTGTGCGACGGCGGAGCCTTGGGTTCCTGTTGCGCCGGTTATGACGATGATTTTTTTGGTTGTGGTTTGGGACATGTTGGTGGATTGTGGATGTGGATGGTGGGGATGATGGGTTGACTGTACTATTTATAATCTCGAACTGGCTGCTGGCTT